AAAAAGGAAATTATGGGTGTAACATATTTCTATACAACATAATTGTATATAAAATAAATTTTAGATTTCTATTAGGATAGCGCCTAAAACTAATTATGAACAAGAAATTAAATCCAAATTTTTATTTTAAAAACTATATTATCACTTTTATAATTACGCTAAACCTATAAGATTCAATTCATATTTTTGATATTTTATTTTATACATTTGAGTCATAAACCGTACCTTTAAAATTAAGATTAAATAAATACATTTTATTAATAAGTGATATATATTGACGAAAAAACTAAAAATTTGTTGTTTTTAATTATTTCACGAGTGTGATACATTTATATACAAAATAATTACAAAATTTATATGTATAAAAGAGTTATGGATTTCGTATAATAATTTTCCTAATAACTAGATATTGTTTTTAAAACTAAAATTACATTGATTTTACTTACATGTCATATTATCCCGCGCATAACGCGGATAACTATCTAGTTATATAGAAATCGTAAGGTTTGTTTAGACGTTATTTTTTTAGTTCTTCCGTTTTACATTAAATGTTAAGTTTGACAGTTTTTATACAGTTAGATTTTGTTTGACTACTAGTATATAATTAAATCGTGAGTTACTTTTTTTTTTAAATTAACTTTTAAAATATTATTAAACAAACTAATTTAGTCATATCAACACATATAGAAAAGATATACATAACCAAATAGAGAGTTGAAAAAAATATAAACATATGAAGGAGATGTATCTCTTGATTTTTTTTTCCTAATACTTGATTTTTGAGATCAAATGCCTCAAATTAAAATCGTTTTCCATAAACATTACATCCAGTAATTAATTTAGAGAAACCATCTCATGTGTTTTTTTGGGTCTTCTTGTTAAGTCAAATACTAAGATCATTTAGCAATTTTTGTCATTTTGTTCGTTTTATCTGTAATTACATTACGCAACGTTGTCATTCAGGAGTCTTAAAAATTGATTAGTTAACTATTTTATCGTTTTCGTGTCACGAGAACAAAAGTGAAATTCGCCGCAAGAACC